TGCCTATAGGTCTCATGCACATCTCTGATACAATTTTATATTTATGTCAAGTTTAGCACACAAAGTCTTACCACATTCTCTTAACTACTTCAAGTTATATACATATTCAGCATAATTTCTCATCGGCTGTCCTTACACTGGTTACTGGTTCCTGTTGTATTTTTTGATTTGTAAATAAAATACTCTTTCTGTTCACTTTGGGAGATTTTAATCAGAATATCTAGCTCCAAACAGCATCATTTCAAAATCATAAGAAGAGCAGAATCTACACAATTAAGCTGGAACTTTAGAATCACACACACACACACACACACACACACACACACACACACACACACACAAATAATCAAAACAATATCACAGAGTCAACTGCTGGAGCAGTTACAAAAATTAAATAAACAAAAGGTAACTGACAGTGTTTTCTGAAGACAAGGGAGAAAGGAGATGGGAAAGGGAGGGGCTAGCAATGTTTTGGAGACTTTGTGAATACCTGGCTCTCTGCACTTTGTGAATAGAAGGCAGCTGCTATTACTTTTATTTTACAGATAAGCAAACTTATGGCTGGAGATCATTTAACTTGGCAATCCTCGTGCGAACGAAAGGAAGCAGAGTACTCTTGGCCTCTGTCTTTGAGCTCACACTCTTCCTAGTGCTGATAGTGTTCTCAACACTGTACCTTTTAGAGTGACATCAATGATATCACACACACTGCATTCAGAGTTTCCAAGTGTAAAACACAGAGGCAAGAAAGCCAGTCTGTCCTGACCACACCCCCATGGTTCACAGACACATATTCTTTAACATCCACATCCTGAGCATCTTTTGGTTGTCATTTCATCTACTCTTCACACCAAGTGAGGGTCAGGAAATGTTACTGCTCTTCATGGGTGAGGAACATGGCGTCTAGAGAGGTCCAGGACTGTACGTGAGCTGAGAGTCTATTGAATGCCAGCTTTCTTCACAGGACTTTGATTCACTTCTACAAGAAATGGAGTTTCATGCCCTTGGGGTGCTTCAGCATCTGATAGGTGAGAAGCCAGTCTTCATCAGTGCTTCTACTACAGGAAAGAGCTAGTGCGTTTATTGCTTATTTCACAGCTGACTTCTCTGGAAATGGAGTAATGTAGACCAAAGTTAATGCTACCAAGCCATGGTGCTTATTCACTAATTAATGTGTCTTTTCTAACACTATATTTGTGTGTTAGAACTGGCCTCTGGCACCACAGCCGCAACTGCCTGTCAAGGGTTGTATAAAGTTTGAATATGTGAGCTACAAATCTATTTTTGCATTTATGGAGGTGAGAGAAGTTCAGAGGAATATTTTCACATAAGTGACTTCCAAGGTAGGTGAGAATTAACACTCAGAAATCACGGAGGAAGCAGGCGCTGCGCATGAAAGTCTGTCTGCAGTTTTTTGATGCTCTTACTGTGTTGGCAAGTTCTCTGGATTCTGATAACAACCAACTTTTGATATCCCTAGACTGTTCTTTTGATGAGGCAGTCTTGCTATGTAGGCTAGACTAGTCAGAAGTGTGGTTCATCTGCCTCTGCCTCCGGAATAATGGGGTCATGAGTATGAGTCAGAACAGTATGACAACCACAGGTCAATGTGACTTCTCTACAGAATTACAAGCTCATGTATCCTACACACAATACAAATAAGTATTTTTAAACCAAGGAATAACTGAAGTACCTCCTATCATGGACACAGCAACCAACATCTAACCACTTATGTCCTCTGGATTTCTTTACAGGGTGTATGTGCTCTGTTGGCTTCTAAACTGACTCCTTCAAGGAGAGTCAACTTCATCTTTTTTTGGAAAGAAAAGTTATAAAACAGACCTAGAGGTTTCTATGAGCATAAGAGGATCACAGTGTTACTTGGGCAATTAAACTCTTAAGAGATTAGGTTCCACACTCAGGACTCTCCAAACAGATCAGCAGTTACAAAAAATTTGTGTGTAATAGAGAATTCTAGTCTGTACTACTAATTATTATTTTTGCAGGACTAACCCAAAACAAGAGCAACTAAAATATAAATGGGTGTGATTCAAATTCTCCTGTCATGTTAGGTAAAATAAAAACACAATGGCTGCAAAATATACTGTTTAGAGGTTGAAAGTAAGAGAAAGAAAACAGGAAGAGGAGAGGAGGAGGGGAAGAGAGGGATGAAGAAGTGGAAACAGAAAGAGGGAAGAAAGGAGAGAGAGAGAGAGAAAGAGAGGGAGAGGGAGAGGGAGAGGGAGAGAGAGAGAGACAGAGAGAGAGACAGAGAGAAAGAGAGAGAGAGAGACAGAGAGAGAGAGAGAGAGAGAGAGAGAGACAGAGAGACACAGAGAGAGAGACAGAGACAGAGATTCAGCTTTTGAGTCCCAGTAGACTTTTGAGGACAGTATGTTTTGGAACTGGAAGGCAATGAGGTATACCCTGTGGAACACTGGTCTGATTCAAATGACCCAGAGCTCTGAAATTCCCAACTGCCTGTATCTGGATCCCTGATGGGATCTGGAATAGATAATTTCCTCCTGTGTTCTCACCCTCCTCCAGACCACACTGCTGGATCTGAGTCTCACTAGAAGCTTCCTATAGTCTCCCACTGTCCCCACTGCCCTATCCTAGCTTGACTCTGCAGTCAGCCTGTCAAAGGCTAATGGCTTTCTGTCACACTCAGGGAAAACCATGGGATCCTAACTGCAAGGATCTGTTTGCTTTTCACTTTGACTTCCCACCACCTCACCTTCTGCCTCTGTTCCATGTTGACACTCTTCTGTACTTTCTGTTTCTTGGACAGAGTCTCAGACTCAAGTCACCAAATGTCACCTTTTTGAACAGAGCTTCTCCCATCCTCTCTTGCATTCCCTTGCTACCTTTTTAGTGGCTTCTTCCTTTGACCATCTCATGGCCATCATTTCTGCCCTCAGTCTGTAAAGAGATTGATGCCTAGTCACAGGCAGAAGCTCAGTAGCAGGTGTAGTTGTCCAAGATTGCTGTTTTTCTCAGAGAATACACATAAATTTAACTACATCTGAGGGTTCTGTCCTTAGATCACTATGTGATACTAGCTCAGACCTCAATAACTGCTTTGACGTTCCTCAACCCTACTCAGTGTCAGTTGCTGGACTGAGGATCTCACATCAATTGTAATAGTGTAACAACTCTGTGACATTAGATTCTATGATGCTTTACCTCCTTTTTATTTGACATCATTTGAGCAATTAGGCTCTGGACCCCAAGCTATGCCAATTTAAAACCTCAGTGTGTTACTCAATACTTAGCTGAGTTTCTGAAGAATCTGAAATCAAGGATTTGCATGGGGAGCAAAGTCTACCAACCCACAAACAACCTTGTATCACTTCTCTGCTACACAACTTCATCCCTGCTCTGTGTCACCCCTCCTGGGACACCAAGCACTCCACTTAATGAGATAGTATCTTCCTTTCTTCCTTTTCAGAGCTAATAGGTTTAGCTACCTCATAACAGAGCCTCTCCATGGCTCTTGGGCTTTCTGTGGAAAGAAACACACACACACACACACACACACACACACACACACACACACAAAGAAACAACTCAGACATCATTGACCTGAATCACTTGAAGTATCAGCCCATTAATAGGATTTTGAAAAAAGTATTACAATTATTTGTCAGCCTGTAGTCTTTATCTTTGTGGGATAAAGGTAGCACTTTGAACAGATTATCTCTGGGTTACGCTGTAAAAACAACACTCTGTTATGCAGGGGACTTGAAGTTCTGAAAATAACTTTGCTATAGAACACAAAGTTTAATCCTAACAGTGTCCCTGTGAGGTATATGCCATGCATGTTCTGCCATACTTCAGGGCAAGGAAATGGGAGTCTAGGGCGATTATTTATAAAATATGAAGGAATGCTTCAAGCTACACAGGCTACTTCAATGCCCTGCGTTCCTTAAATAGAGCCTTCATGATGAATAAATAAATAAAAGAGGACTCCAAAGAGATTCCTGTATAAGATTTGAGAGTTCTGCATGTGCATATACACATATGTGTATATTTGTGTAGGTTTCTAGGGATGTGTAGGTGTGTGTGTAAAGTGTGCAAATGTGTCCAGACATATAGGTGTGTATACAAGTTTATAGGTATGTGGTTGTGTGACTGTATGTATGTATGTATGTATATACATACATATACATATGTCTAGGCATGTAGTTGAATATGAGTGTATGTGTGCAGATGTGGTATATGTGCAACTCTTGGGGATAAAAGGAACATTTCAAAATCATGTGTATATTATCAGCTCTGAACAATGCCCTCAAATTTGGCCATCATCTGCCATTCTATACCACATTGTCACACTTAAATCATGATACTATAACACTCCCAAGCTTCCCAGCAAATACCCTGGGAATGTATAGAAAGAAAGAAGATCCACAGACCTAGCTTTCGTCTCTGTTCTCATCTGTTGCCTTATATGATTTTTAATCTCTCTTTCAGAAGCAATGCTCTTAGAGTTTCCACTGTGAATGCTGCTCCTGTCTTAATGAATTATGGGTATGGATTGTAGAGTTTCAGGAGCAGTCATCTTGGGCTGTGAATCAAGAAGCACCTCTCATCCTCAGATATCTCTCCAGGAAGAGAAATGAGGTGAGCAGGTTCCTCTCAAAAGACCTCATTCTAACTGCAATGAGGCTGCTTCTTCCCTGCATGTGTCTGGAGCTGAGGCCCACAGTGCTCTGCTCCAAAATGTTCTCTGATTATTTTTAGGAGTCTGAAGTTCAGGCAGAGACATGCAGGCACCAGTCTGTCCTCAACAGAGGCTAAGTGCTCTCTTCGAGTCCTGCTTGGCTCACAGAGAACTGCACTGAAAACCTTCAAATTCAGAATCGATCAGGCCAGAAGGAGCACCTGCCTTGGAAACCCACTGCTTAGACATGTGTTAAGGTTCTTCCTCAGTGATGAAGGTGGGGGAGGGGCTAGCGAAAGTCAATTTTAATGAGTGCCACTTCTTTCTATGCACTTACCTCCAGAAAATGTTCCGCCTGCTGCTCTCGATCCAATTTCCTTGAAGTCGTGGTAATCAGACCTGTGTAGAAATGAGAATATTTGACTTTTAAATATCTGGGGCAAGTAGCTCATTGAATATGGCCAAAAAAAATACAGTCTAGTTAAAGGGAAAGCTAAAATTTGATAGAGAATGGCAACCCTCCAGTTCCCAGGGATGCTTAGACGTATTCTTAAAGCAAGGTCAAATGTGCTAAGGAACTGTGGGAAACTCAGAAGAACCATTGCTGTCTGGGAAGAATGCAAAAATTTCCTAAGAAACATTGGTTTTCTAACAAAGGAACAGCCCAAAGATTCATTTACCCAGAATTGCAGCTCTTCCTAAGGATCCAGATTAAAGGTTCTTAAGTTATTAATAGGTGGGTGACACTGATTAGATTCTTGCTATGAGATAGCACTTTCTCATTTAATTTTATATACTTATATATTTTGAGTTATATTTCTTAAAGAGGTGATTTTTGCAATAGCTACTTGTACACATAATTGCCCCCAATTCAGTAGATCTTACAACCAACACTTGACTATAATTTTACCATTCTGTTTTAAGAGTTTGGATCATTAAACTAAGGTATTCCATGGAAGGATCTATATCTTCTCCCAATGTCTATAGAGACAAATGGAATGAGAAGACAGACCTCTGAGCCTCTCAGCTTATTGCACAAATTAGTCTTTTGTACAGTTTATTATTCTTATTGTGAAATGGCAATTAGAATCCCAAATTTACTTTCCACCTCTCCATAATAATGTCTCTATAGAAAAAAATGAGCTGGCTTTTTAATGATGTGTGCCAATTAACTAGGTAAGAGTGAAGAAAAATTGTATATGGAGAGCATTTGACCTAGTCTGCTGAGCTGTGGATGGATGTATGGGAGGACATGGATTCTAGAGAAACAAGAAGCCACAGGAAATTAAGTGATGCCTTGGTGACATCCAAAATAAAATAATCCCATGTAGTGTAGCACAACCATCTACAAATTGGCACACCTATTTTGCCCTGGTACCCCACAAGGAAAAATAGCTGTGCTTCAATTGCACCAAGAACTCATTTATGTGTCTCATTTTAGATTTTTCTTTTCTTTCCTTTCTTTCTTTTTTATTATAAATTGATAATATATATATATATGTATATGTATATGTATATGTATATGTATATATGGGCATAGAGTCATATTATGATTCATAAGTGACATGTGAGAAAGTTTAGCAAATGAACTTATATATCAATCACATAAAGTGCTTATTTTGTGGTGAGAACACTTGAAATTTATATTCTTAGTAAATTTGATATGTACAACACACTATTATGAACTAGTTGTACTCACAGGTTATTTTCAATTTGACTCAGGTATTGGCCCATCTAATATACCACATATCTCCTACCCTCCTCTGTCATCATTATAATTCTTTGTTGCAAAGTTTGAAATTTTCCACTGGACACATGGGCATGACATGAGGAGAAGGCTCCACCATTTGTTTCTAAGATTGTTACCCATCTTGTTCCTTACCTAGAATAAGGAAGAGGCCCTTACTGTTGCCTTTGGATTTATTAAGCTCTCTGATGGTTTAGGGTGGCCTTGCTTTTTTTGTGGAGTAGGGCACCTTCAACACTACCCCAACAGTGTCCAGAGGTAAGGTCAATGATTCTCTTTCCTCTTCACCATCACAATGCCCCGTGGAAGTTTAAAATCACAGATTTGTCACTGCACTTGTTTCTAGTTTCCTGTATCAAAATCTCTAGAGATGATGATTGACATGGTCCTCAGCACCCAAGAGCAAGGAACTGTCCAATCTTGTTCCTTGCTGAATCTGACTAACACTTTTCACTGACATTCATCTTTCTACCGGCTCAGCCACATGCAGAAGTTGCTGTAACAAGGAAAGGCAGAAAAGAAGCATGGTTCCTGGGTTCAAATTCTGTTTTGTCTAGCAGACACTCTTCAGTTCTGGACTGTGCTGTCTGACAAAGTCCTATGTCATGGAGGTTTTTTTCAAGTGTGAGGTAGTAGCTATTCTCATACAGTGAGAGAGACTTTCTTTACCCTCACCCCCCAACCAAGCTTCTTCAGGGCTAGACCTATGTTAGAGGGCACAATGGGAAAGGAACATGCTTGCTATAAGAAGGTTGTAAGCATGTGGTGGTTGGAGGGAGGAATTCTTTTCCCCATTGCACATCTGTGGAGCAAAGAAGAGCAGATACCACTGACCTCTGTGCCCTTGAGTGCTCTCATGTTCCCAGTATTCTTGCAACCTGGGCTTACTCAGCATGAATGCCCAGAGCAACAATCAGCTTTCCCTCCTGGTAATTCTTAGGGAAAGTCTTCAGGAAATTCACATCATTTTATAATGCTCACAAGGGTCTGGGAGAGCAACCCAGTGTCTCCAATCTGTGTCTTTATCAGGTGTGTTTATCAGCTTACAGAGAAGGAGACAGGGCTCCCTGAAAAGTTGAAACAGTTTACCCAGAAATGAGTTGGAGCTGGGAAGCTGAATAGTTACTGCTCCTAGAGGGAAGCCAGAGAGAAGTTCGTGTATACACCAGGATTCTGGGCTTCCTTACCTGTGTGTTCATAGATATATGTAAAAGATAGGCAGAAAGAGTTAAAAGCGGAAATCATTAGACAAGCAAGTGAGATTGGGTGGGGATAGTGAGAGACTACTGATAGGTTCATGGTTTCCTTTGAGAGTAAGGAGAGTCCTTTATGTATGAGTAAGGTGATGCTTGCATAGTTTGTACTATACTCTGAAAATTGTGAAATTGCTTACTTCATATGAGGAGATCCTAGTTTGTATAAGTTATGTATCTACAAAGTGATCAAAAATTTGTGGGAAATCATAGACACTCTTTCATGTTCAACAAATCTTTATATTTGTAAAGTAGGGATATTTGAATGAATGAATGAGCTTAGCAATCAGTCATGAGTTGGGCTTTCAGAGAACAAACAGTTATCAAGTTTGTATATGGAAATATGGAACCAAGAAATACTGAACTTTGGGGTCAGGTTGTGCTAGAACAATTCATGATTATTTGCACTGAACTGTTATCTGCTCAGTTCCAAGAAAACCTGGAAAAGGTTAAGGTTCACTTTATAGAGAGGTACATGCTTGCAATGGACAACAAGACCTCAAAGGCTTGGCTGTTTTCTATAGTCAGGAAAAAGTTCAGGGACTCACCCCTCACAGTCCAGAGGGATTTCTTAGAAAGACCATCCTCATTTCCATGGTTGGGTTGTGCAAAAACACACCGAGCCTTAAAATGGAGCAAAGGATAAAAGAGAGCACAGCTTCCTTTTAGCCATACTGACTCAGCCATGTGGTCAGGAATCCCATGCTTACACTTACAGAAGACAGAGGTGTGAACACCACACATAGAATAGTATATACATAAAACACCTATTCTTGGAAACTTAAATGATGAAATACAGTTTTAAAAACAAACCAGAGGCCCACTTTGCAGTGTGGTTGGAATATAAGAACAAACACATAATCTGATATGATTTCTTATGCAGGCTGCTGATTAGGAGGGGGCGGGGGGAAGATGCTGGCCCTAAGTAAATGACATTCAGTAAGGTGACAAACAGGAGGCAGGAGACTCTAACAACATTTCTCTGAGAAGCAGACCAAGAACTGTGGCTGCCTGATCCAAAGGACCAGAGACATTCTAAATAGCTCTGGTCAGAAGCATGACACTTGGAAGAATGTCTTCTTTCCCTTGGCTCTCTCTCCTTTCAGATGTTCTGGGTCACAGCTGTGTAACTTCTAGCAGGGCATTCACATTTACTATATGTGCTACTTGGACAAATGCAGGGCTTGGCTGGTTCAGCATAATTCTCCTGGTGGGCAGAATGTTGGCCTTCTTGTTAAAACATCTAACTAACTAGAATTAGTGCTTCCCTAAGTACTTCCTATGTTTCGTACCTAATCCCCTATGTCTATGCCCAGCAATCTGCTGAACTCTTCCTAACACTTGCAGATGGCCCACGTATTACTTTTCCCATTCCACCTTTCTAGATCTTTCCTCCTACACTCAGCTGCTGGAAGCTTATTTATTCAAGAAGTCAGAGACTTAAGGTGGTTCCCACTGCCCACATACCCAGGCCAATTGCTTGTTGTGTACATAAATATAGCTCCGAGCATACCCAGAGTTTTTCTCTGTTTGTTGAAGAGTTCTCTCTAATAGAGCATAAGCAAATGGAAGATGACTGACTGCCTCACTCACTAGAAAGGGGACAAAAGCGAACATTCTTGACTGCACCCACAATATCCCCAGCTCACACTCCTTCTGTCATGTCTTCACCACCCTAGCACACTGTGTCCCTTTAAACTAGGAGCTCCTCCCAACTTTCCTTCTTTAAATTGCTTTTGTAAGGCATTTTATCACAGCAATAAAGAAATAACTCATACTGAAAATTACTATCTTGAAGTGAGATTGTTGCTGCGATAATCTGACTCTGAGGTTCATAGGAATTTGAACTAGTTTGTAGGAAAACTTTGGACTTATGGGCTAAAGTAGAGCAAGACTGTTGTTAAGTAGAGTTTAATGGATCATCCTGGTAGGAGTATGAAAAACCACAAAGCAGATAGGCAGGCAGTGCAGATTTCTCATACAACATTACAAGATTCTGGCTTAGAGATTCTTTTCTTTCCTCAGCTTTGAGGCTTCAAAGGAAAGTTGTGCTGGAGAGATGGCTCAGACGTTAAGAGCACTTGCTGTTCTTGAAGAGACCCAGGTTTGGTTCCCAACATGCTCACAATCTTCTGTAATTTCAGTTCCAGAAAATCTGATGCTTTCTTTTGGCCTCCATAGGCACCATGCATGCACTTGTTACACAGACAAATATGTAGTACTTATAAACATATAAGCATCTTTAAAATATAAACACTTAGAATAACTAGATAGAATGTAAATATGTAATCTTAAATTTGAACATATATTAGATTGAATATGTATCTTAGATGTGTTTGTGTATGTGTGATTTCTTTTTTTTACTGTATATTCTATTTATTTAGATTTCAGATGTCATC